TGCAAGCAGGGATGCAAACCTCTGAATAAAATAACAAGTGTAGAAAAGATCCATTTGTGAATTCGAATGAAGTTAAGATTTCTTTAGTATTGTTGTTGGGGAGGAAGGGGTCATCGTTAGTTTTCTAAAGCGGTAGAATTTACGATTGATAATACCAAAGGAAAATATTTCTCATAACATATAGGTTCTTTGAATTAAAATTTCTTTTAAGATTATCGAAACGATCGACAAAAGCTGCTTCGTTACAAAATTATTTCAATACTTCATGAGAGTATTGCAATGAATGAAGAGAAGTGGTCTTTCAGATCCTCTTATCGCGTTCTGCTCCTAACTTTCAGAAAGTTTTATGTAGCTAAACAAGAAAGCATTTAGTCGTGTGTTGAGCAAATAAGTTAGCTCTTATCTTTTTTTCTGTTCTTAGCTGATTTTGGATAAGCAGTCTATTTTTTTGACAAGTTAAAGAAAAAGAAAATACTACAAAGCAATACAATATCAACATGCGAGTATATAATGAAAGCAAAGAATTGAAAACATCATTTGTTCACTGTCTAGTTGTTAATTTATCAATCTGCAACAAAAAGAGAAATTGTCGAGAAAAGAAAAGGAACAGAGTTAGGTTTTACTTACGATAGCTGCCTCTTGTTGTTTATATGATATCAGTTGTTCGAGATAATGGTTAAATTTCTTCGTTAAACTGCATTTAAGCATGGCATCCAGTTCACTGATATTGTTTCTGTCACTTAAAAAGTATTTCAAGACTTCATCACGAACTGTGCAATAGCTAACGTTTCATATGTTCTTCCAGACAACATTTTAGTAGCCCACGAAAATGGTTCCATTATTCGTTTCAGACTTGCTAGTTTATCCCAAGTTTCATGTGTGAACTCAAAGGATTTCAGTTTATCAACTTGACCATTCTTAAGATCTTTGACCAAATGAGATGGTGCGATCAGAGCGCTGATTACTTCTCGATAAGTGAGAAAACGTTTCACCATACGAAATGTACTATTCCATCGGACAATAAAGTCTAGAAATAAATCACTAACTTTTGTTCCTAATTTCTTTTTTATTTCATTCGTCGTTAACTGAGGATCTTGGTCGACTTCAATTAATCGATTTTTAGCTTTTAAACGAACATGAGCGTCGATCACACTTGATCGACGAATAAGACTAATTATAGCACGTGTCTTTTTCAACACATTATGAACTCTTATTAACAATTCAGTTTCTCCACGTTCTTTTTCATTTTCAATATTTTCGACTTCTGATAGTTCTTGTACATTAACTGTTTTATCATCTGATTCATCATTTTCTTCTTCCTCTGAAGATGTGTCACAGCTTCCTTTGGCTTCATCATGCTCTTCATCTGTTGAGCATTCGCTCGTATCGTCTGACACATTTTCTTCAATTTCATGATCTGATCTGCATCATCCGTCCTCCATTCTTCATCATCATCCACAGTTGTTGAAGTTTCCTTCTCCCTTAAAAAGAAGAGAAAAACAATAAAGAGATTTCTTCCTTATTTTCAAGAAGTATTGAGCTCAGACAGAAATATAGTTTTTATGAGAAACAACCCCGATTATGCGTTATCTTCTTTCGGAGGCAGAGAAGACGCTCGAACTTTTTTATCACAGAAATTTCGCAAAATGAATAGTTGAGCCGTGGGGGAAAGCGAACAGAAAATAAAAACTCTTTTCAAGATAGAACAATAACTAAAAGAAAAAGGATTATCCTTTTTCTTGTAGAGTAATCTTTAATTCTCTTTATTTCGCCTTCTGTTTAAAAAAATATAGAGTTACTGGGAGACTTTTGGTTTTTTCAACAAACATAAACCATTTGAAACTACCAAGTTCATGATATGTGCGAAGCAGGAAAATCTTGTCCCAAATTCACTTATGTCTGTTGCCTTTCTTATATCAGCTCCATTATCCGTGGTGATAGACACAATTTTCGCTGAAAGTCCCATTTGTTCTACTTCATATTGAATGTATTTTCTTAAACGCAGAGCCGTTTTTCTGCCATTTAATCGCCGAAATCCAATCACAGTTGACACATAATCAAATTCATCATCATAATAGTGAGCTGACAGATAAAATACGACCTTGTGGTGCTGCGCCACACATCGGTTGTTAATGATATCGCTTGTACGTTACGCAATATTTCTTTTACTCGTTTCCGCTCTTTATGATATAATATAGATAAACGCCGACGAACGGTATGACGATGAGAAGCTTTGTAGCCTGGTACAGCAACATTAAGAAAATCTTGCATGCTCATACGACGTAAATCACGAAGGATCGTCCATCTCGAATGATACATGAAATAGCTGCTGTATCCAGTTCTTTCTTTCGATCTGAGGATATGGTTGATATCGTTGATTTTCGTTTAACCTTTGGCACTGAGATGGGTAGAGATATTGTGGATAATGTTGACCGAGATGTTTTCTTAAATTTGTATCCGATCCAGCAAATTATTGAACTACCTAGAAAATACAAAAATTCAGTAGGTTAAACCAAGAAAAGAAGAAAATTGTAAAATTTTTCTAGTCAAAAAAAGTCAGAAAAAATCTTTTGCTAATCCTTAAACAAGTTTGCTGAAAAGTTTAATCCCGTATCTCGCATTATACGTAAACGAGCTATTCTTTTTGTGCAAAATTTGTCTTTTTAATCTTTTCATGAATCATAATGAATGAACCAGTTACTATAAAGTAGTCTTAGATGTATAACTAATCAATCAACTACTCAGCTAAGACAATGTGCTCGATTGAGTATAATTTTGCTTCCTCTTTCTTTCTTTTGCAATACTATGATAAAACTCCTTATAGCGGAAAGTATTCGTCTGTTGTGGAAGAACAATTGCTGACCGGGACTAAGAAAGATTTGAATCCGGAGGAAAAATTCTAGTCTACGAGAACCACTATCATCTTTTTAAAACTCATAAAGAGGCGCAAAAGAGACAATTTTTTTTACTGTATGTTGTATACAGTTGAGGCATATGGGGGATTTTCTGGGTTTTGCTGTATTACGGTATCCGTATCGCACCCTTACCTGTATGTCGTATATAGTTCAGGGATATGAGGACTGTGAGGGTTCTGCTGAATTACCGTATCCGTATCGTACTGTTATCTGTATGTTGGATATAGTTGACGGATATGAGAATTTCGAGGGATTTCCTGTAATACGGTAACCGCACCATACCCTTATCTATATGTTGGATATAGTTAAGAGATATGAGAATTTTGAGGGTTTTGCTGTATTACGGTATCCGTATCGTACTCTTACCTGTATGTCGTATATAGTTCAGGGATATAACGATTTTCAGGGTTTTGCTGTATTACGGTATCAGTATCGTACTCTTATCTGTATGTTCTATATAGTTGAGGGATATGAGGATCTCGAGGGTTTTGCTGTATTATGGTATCCGTACCATACCCTTATCTGTATGTTGGATATACTAGAGCGATATGAGGATTTTGAGGGTTTCGCAGTATTACGGTATCCATATCGTACTTTTATATCTATGTTGTATATAGTTGAGGGATATGAGGATCTATAGTGTTTTCCTGTATTACGGTATCCGTACCATACCGCTTTCTTTAGGCTGGATATAGTTGAGGGATATGAGGATTTCGAGGGTTTCGCTGTATTGCGGTGTCCGTATCGTACTCTTATCTGTATGTTGTATATAGCTGACCGATATGAGGATTTTGAGGGTTCTGCTGTTGTACCGCATCCAGGCATGGGCGAGTCCGGGAGGGACCGAGTCCGAGCCGAGTCCGAGTCCTCAAAAATTTATTCCGAGTCCGAGTCCCTAACATTAAGGACCGAGTCCGAGTCCGAGTCCGTTTCGAGTCCGGTAAT